ACATCAAGATAGATAAAACGCTGAAAGACCAGTTGTTTTGTATGGCTCTGAAATCTGGAGTATAACAAACAGAGATGAAACCTTTTTACAAATATTCGAAAACAGAATCTTAGACAATCTTTGGACCCATCATTGGTCACTAGCATCATGAGGGCTAACAGACGGAAATAACAAGACTATAGAGTATGTCCGAGGACAGACAAGTTGAAAAGCTGAATTCACGAGGAAGTTGACTGGCTGCAGACCACCAGGCAGCCTAATAGGTCAAAAAGACAATGGAGAACGATTGTACAGACGGACCTGCAAACACTTGGAGTGATCAACTGTAAAAAGAGGACTGATCACAGAAATGGATTGAGGCGCGTGATGTTTGCAGCAATGAACCGCAGGGCTTGAATTATGAAAACGAAGAAAACTCTTTAGAAGAAGGGGATAAAAACAACACTGTAAGCATGTTGTTGTTTTTTCCCCCCAAAAATTCTATGTTTAGACAAAAAGTACTTATCTTGTGACCAGTGTAGCTATAGTCGGCTCTGAGGCTAAGTCGATGCGAACGCTTATAATGCCGGGGTGTCGGGTTCGATCCCGGCTGCGATCCCAGTTTCCACAGTGGTATCAGGGAGCCGACCGTCCAGAGGGCAATGGCAAAATACTGGACGTAAATTTGCCTAGAGAAACCACACAACAGCCAGGAGCTGCTGGGGTTGGTTCTGCAACGTCCTGTAAAGGATACCCAACTAACCTTGGAGTGTACCTATCGCACGATAATCATGACTAATTTCTCTGTTTTTATATTCATTCATTTATTGTCCTGTTATACCACGATATGTCATACAGGGCTCGCAGTCCATTCTTCTGTTTCGCTCTAACCTGTGCAATTCCTTCGATAGCAGGGATGGAATCAAGTTCACAACCTTTGGCCTCTCTAATCAACGTTAGTTCTTACTGCTGATTGTTTTTGTGTGGATGTTCTCGCTTCCCCATTCCCTTTATTTCCTTTTTCAGTGCCTGTTCGGTGATACTCTTTTCATTTCCTGTCTAGATGTGTGCAAAATAATGCTATCGTTGTTGTCTTATGAGTGTTGTTACCTGTGGTTGCCAAAACCATTCTTTCCTGCAAGTTCTTTAGCGGACAAAAATATATGTATGAAATTAAACACTTATGGTAGGTGCTTTATAAAGTATGCACATACATCTATTGGTATCTTTAATATTTGACAACATATATTCGGGTAAACAGTGGTTCTCTTTAGATACTTCGTTGCTACAAAGGTTACAATGTATTTCATCATCGCTGTCAATTGTCATTGTCTATTATTTTACCGCCTGCCGCCACGCAGACGACGCTCAGAAATGTTCTTTTTTTAAAATGTCCTTCCACAATCCTGCTCACAGCCAATCATTTTTCAGACAGGTTTATGTAACCGGCCGATGCTTTGGGACCTCCAGCGTACGTTCGTTCGTTTATTCGTTCGTCACAGGGCTGTCTTGGGGGAGCATTCTATAGACTTGGCCATGGCCCCGTGACGTAATGAAATTCTAAATCAGCCACATATACAACTGCTAGAAAGGGCACATTTTCTAACAATTGCGCAAACAATATGGGGGGGGGGGGGGGGGGGCTACACTGTTGTTTTCACATTAAGGAAAACATACACACACATGAACAGAAACACACTCATACACATACACATACACACACGTGTGTGAATAAGGCTGCAGAATTTGTTAGAAACTGAAAGAATTTTAGGCATGATGTGACCCTAGCGATGTTCTGTAAAATACATGCTGATTACATACACACACACACACACACAATCATATATATAAATATATATATATATATATATATATATATATATATATATATATATATATATATATATACACAAACACATACTTACACATATATACACACATATATTTAAAAAATGTATATTATGTATGCAAAAAATCATCATCGTGTAGCAGGTCCTTCACAGAACGTCGCTCTCATCTGGGTCTGCCTGAAAGAAACTCGGTCTCTCGCCAGCTCTCCCGCCTCATGTACTTTCATACTCAAGTAGTCACTTATATCCTGTGTCCATCTTTGTGTTGGCCTGCCCTACTCCTCCTTTCTGGTACCATGCCTTCTGCTATAATGTTTTTTAATCCGTCGTGGCGCTTGAGAGGACCAACATTTTTCAGCTAATCTTCCTTGATGTTCAAATCTGTCAAGATGTCAGTATTTCTCCTCTTTTTCGTCCAAGATATTCTGAGAATAATGTGAAAAAGGCAATTACATATTTCTTAATTAAACATCAGAGTTCGTTGCTAACGCCTACATACGTAACATCGTGGACAGTACTGTCATGCAGACTATCAAAGACATGGCGGATATATGTAAGGACGCTGATAGTTGAATTCTTCATACAGCAAAGAATCCAACCAGACGAGAAGCAGAATTATTGTTCGTTTGTAGATCGACGGATGTTCAAGATATAATTACCGTTGGCTACACGAACCATACAATTGACTTGCAAGTCTGTAGGAACTGCACTGCACATCTCATGTCATGGATTTAATAAAGCAGAATGACACGCCCCTTCTAATGAACCGATCCCCGTTTGGACTCTCAAATCAAAGCCGGTTGTAATAATTGACTTTGTATTTATACATTGTTAACAGATTTATTTGAGTCAGGTTTATTTTATCTTCTTACTCGTGTCTACCCTCTTGAGCCATTTTGTGTGGGCGTGTGTCCGTGAATGTATATTACAGTAATTGCCAGCGAAATGTTGTGGTGCCATAAAAGAGGACAGTTATTTTCATCAGTCTAGTTTTTCAGTTTGTGACTCGAAAGATTGTAAATGACAATAATGCCAATCATTTACTGACATTGAAGTGTGGTTGTTTTTTTTTTTTTTTTGCTCTGTTGGAGTATTCTTTCTAAATTTGGCTGGCATTTTCTGTCTGACTGCTGCCAATGGAGAGCCTCTGTCAGAAGCCTAATTTTATCTGGAACTCCAGAATTTAATTCCGCGCGCACAGACTGACACGTGCACACCCTTATAGAAAACCACCTCGTCATTATCACGATTCTGCTGTGTTATTACACGTCACACTAGCCTGGCAGTATATTATGTTCTAACGTGTGCAGTCCTGGACGTTACGTTGTTTTTTTCCCAGCCTGCACTGCTGGATCCACGCGATCCAGCCATTCCAGAATAACTCGGGCATGATCTTCATTCCCCGTTATGACACTCGGATCATCCATAAATGCATCCAGTTTTTCCTAATCTGAAGGCCTTAACCGACGCCGACAACCCCGTCTTACACAACATGCATTAGCTATTACGTACACTATAAGAGAAATCATACACCCCATTGCTAACCCAACCTAGAGTTCAGTCCGTCTCATAGTAAATGTGGTAAAGAAGCGGCTGGCGAACTTAGAGAAATATTGCACAATCATTTTGGTGATCTGTGTCAGTATGTAGAACACGCGAAAGGCCTGTCACAATAGTTTATGGGGCACTGACCCATAGGCATTGGCCAGATGCATCCATATCACATGCAATCTGGTTCTCTCTGCCTTAGCTCTCTGGATACTCTTCCAGATCATAGTTGCATGATCAAGACACTGGAGAACGATTTGATTATTTCCTCTGAGTCTTTTCAGCTGGCGGGTCAGTTCTCTCTCCATGTTGTCTTGTGGATCCCTCTGAGTTGCAAGGAGAACTCCAAAAGGCAGTCACACACACACACACAAAAACAAGTGTGCTGTTTTTAATTTTTTTCCTCGAAAACTTTTGCTGAATCAATAATTGCTTTCTGCTCTGAAGTTTGTTGAGAGTCTTCCGGTGGCGCATGGTGTTTTCACTTTTTTTAGTTAAGTTATTTGCTATTCTGTGCATGGAGTTGTTCATACGTTTACATTTTTCTGTTAGGGTAAGCACCTTTTCTTCCCTTCGAAGGCTCAAGCTCTGGAGGCCAGAAGTTGCCTCTAGCTCATGGATTGGTGTCAGTGATGATTCTGAGAACAATGTTCTGTATTTTGTCCAGTATGTGTAGGTTTGATATGGCTGCAGTTGTGTATGCTCCGATGCCATACTTCAGTTTTGGTCGTACGTATCCAGTGTATACTTGTCGTACAGTGTTGGCATCTGCACCCCATCTTGTTCCAGTAATTTCTTTATAAGTCTGAGCCTCAGGTTAGCTTTCCTTTGAGTGTCTTCACTGTGGGGGCCCCAGGTTAGTCTTTTGTCGAATTTTACTTCCAAATATGGGGGGGGGGGGGGGGGGGGGGGAGGGTTATCCTATTTTGGAAGGATGTTGCCTTCTAGGTACAGATAGACTTGTTCTGGTTTTGTGAACAGGGAGAAGAAAGTTGAGACGGTTTTGGTCTGGTTTTTTTGTGACTCCCCAAGAGTCTGTCCATTTCTTAACTGTATTTATAGCTTCCTGCATTCTTGTTTTCGTTGTTCCTTTGTGTTCAGCTTAGGTCCATATGGCCAGGTCAGCTGCATGTAGGGCCTTGTGAATGTGAGTCGTGAACAGTTTTGGGAGGTCATTGATGAAAAAAACAAGCACAACTGTCTGCCTCTTCGAATCTGATATTTGCCCAGAATGGATCACATAACATTGTCAGAATGTTCTAGATGTCTCAGACTGAACTGGCAACTACACCTACTGATCAAGTAGCTTAACGTGTCTGCTGGATACTGGCCAGAACCCTGTACTAACCTAGAGTGCCTGTATTGTGCTTATTGTTCTAGTGGCTTCACATGTTGTCACGGAAAGGTTTCTGCAATCATGTTTCTCCAGCTTGCTCTTCTGCAAGCATCGTCTTCATTTGTCGTTGAATGTTCCCACATCCGTGGAGAATATAAAGTGTGATAACGGGGGTGTCAGAAATTTCTACAAATATTTAGCTTGAAAAATGAATTAAACCTTCAATGTTTGGTTTATAGGTAGAGTGATATCATTGTTTAAAACAGTCTACTTCTACTTGCTTCCAGTTGTGCAGTATGTAGACAGCGACGGAGCCTATTGTCCTCGCAGCTTGTACGATTGTAACAGTCTAGAATCAGAACTGCATTCATCTGCAGACCTCATCATTACGCCAGAATTCATGACGTCCTCGGATGATGACAATTACATTGGAGAAATTTGCAAGTAAGCCAGCCTTCTCATGCCGTTTGTACATAGCTTGTTAATTAGTTGCATATCCTTTACAGGACGCTGCAGTGCCAACCCCAGCAATGCCCCCCCCCACCTCCCTTGACCCTTTTACCTGATATGTTACTAGCTAATAATAACTTCACTAATACATTTGGATTACCCAAAGATGAGTAAAGAAAAAAAAAGAAATGTTTGGGCAACCGGTGATAACAATAACTTTAAGAGGAAGAACACTGGCCAATTTTAAACACACTCTGAGAAAAAATTAGCATAAAATCACCAGAAGGCGCTAAAATATAGGTTTTTTCTTCTTCTTCTTCTTCTTCTTCTTCTTCTTCTTCTTCTTCTTCTTCTTCTTCTTCTTCTTCTTCTTCTTCATCTTCTCCCCCTTCTGCCCCTCCTCCACATTCTTGTTATTCTTCTTCTTTCTACTCCTCACTCAGTTACCTTATCGATATTTTGATTGGAGGTGGTTGGGGTGATATCGTCGGATGACGAAGCTATAGCCTGTGTTGCGTTATAATGAACTGTATGTCTGGTTTTATAATAAAAAGTATGCAGATCTTTAAAGACATCTCCACCGCGTAGTTGTGACTGTGTGGTCATAAGTTGTGGTAACGATCCATGTTTGACAATAGTTCTGATTAGTTGTGCCATGGTAGACAACGGTATCTCCGTATGTGCATCCCAGTTAAGTAAACTGTACAATTCAGCTTAAAGAAAAAAAAAAAAAAAAGAGAGCTGTCAGTACTTTTTGATTTATGCATTCCGTCTCACACAATAAAGATTGGCTACAGTGCGTGGATAAGTGCATCCACGTTTTCTGCGATCATGACATGGTAGTGTATCAGTCTTTGAAGTCACGAGACCTGTCTGCTTCTAAGTAGTCCACTGCAGAGTTTGACACCCGGTATTTGCAATATTGGATTGTGAAAGAACTGTGTTCAGTTCTAACGCAGTCAACCGCGCATGAGCACAGTGAAGAGCACCGGTCTATTTGTTTGTTAGCCGTTATACTTAGAAGCGAGGACTTTTAGATTTTTTTGGAGTCTTTTTCGATAACTGCTTTTTTTAAACCCAAAGCTGGTTTGTAAACAGGTCAGTCTTTACGTTAAAGTCATACTTTGTCATTTTCCACTTTTTTAATACATCGATGTCTGTTTGGTTCATAACCTTTAAGGTTCAGGTCTAACTATGAGTTCCTTCAGTTCTTGCTCTGATTCTGAGATCTTAGAGTCAGATATATATGTATGTTTGTATTCCAAAACAAACAAACCTACTCAGAATCAGATATATAAGTATGTTTGTATTCCAAAACAAACAAACCTACTCAGAATCAGATATATATGTATGTTTGTATTCCAAAACAAACAAACCTACCTAGAATCAGATATATATGTATGTTTTTATTCCAAAACAAACAAACCTACTCATAATCAGATATATATGTATGTTTGTATTCCAAAATAAACAAACCTACTTAGAATCAGATATATATGTATGTTTTTATTCCAAAACAAACAAACCTACTCATAATCAGATATATATGTATGTTTATATTCCAAAACAAACAAACCTACTCAGAATCAGATATATATGTATGTTTGTATTCCAAAACAAACAAACCTACTCGATCAGCAAAAATAATACTTGTCAGGCACTTCCATTTCATTTGCTACCAGAGCGATTAAGAATAAATTACTGAATGCTTCCATTGTCATTTATTCACCACTCAATCGTTGTCTTCAAGGATAGTCTCAACTCACTGATCGTAATTTGCCTTATTTTCCACTGTCGTCATTTTGGTGTCTTTCTCCTCATAGTCGATATAAGTTTCTCAGGAAGCGTGTTTAGGGAGCGTCATGATTAGCTGTGCATCCAGATTTCCTGGTCTTTCACCTAGATTTGTCGTGGGAATTTATAGGATTTCTGTGACTTTCGACAGACATTTTCCTTGTGATTGCACTACGTGATTACAGCGCATTGATTTATCAGTGCTAGTGGTGCTGAGTAGTGTAACTTGAGTTTCTGGGAGCCGACAATATCAGTGGTCTTCCATTTGTGAACGAGTTTCTGGCAGCCGACAATATCTGTGGTCTTCCATTTGTGAAAGAGTTTCTGGTAGCTGACTATATTAGTAGTCGTCCATTTGTGAACGAGTTTCTGGTAGCTGACTATATTAGTAGTCTTCCATTTGTGAACGAGTTTCTGGTAGCTGACTATATTAGTAGTCTTCCATTTGTGAACGAGTTTCTGGTAGCTGACTATATTAGTGGTCTTCATTTGTGAACGAGTTTCTGGTAGCTGACTATATTAGTAGTCTTCCATTTGTGAACGAGTTTCTGGTAGCTGACAATATTAGTGGTCTTCCATTATTTGTGAACGAGTTTCTGGTAGCTGACTATATTAGTAGTCTTCCATTTGTGAACGAGTTTCTGGTAGCTGACAATATCAGTGGTCTTCAGATGTGAACGAGTTTCTGGTAGCCGACAATATCAGTGGTCTTTCATTTGCAGCGACTGTGTTTGTGTCGTGCACTATTCCCGGTGTCTCTGTGAGATTGTATGTATGTGTGGGAGATTGTATGTATGTGTCTGCGAAGACAGATGAGGGGACAAGCAGTTGTATGTATGTGTCTGCGAAGACAGATGAGGGGACAAGCAGTTGTATGTATGTGTCTGCGAAGACAGATGAGGGGACAAGCAGTTGTATGTATGTGTCAGTGAAGACAGATGAGGGGACAAGCAGTTGTATGTATGTGTCTGCGAAGACAGATGAGGGGACAAGCAGTTGTATGTATGTGTCTGCGAAGACAGATGAGGGGACAAGCAGTTGTATGTATGTGTCAGTGAAGACAGATGAGGGGACAAGCAGTTGTAGATATGTGTGAGCGAAGACAGATGAGGGGGTGGGGGGGGGGCAAGCTGTTGTATAGAGAGGCAGGTAGGCAGGCAGATGTGTGCGTGCGTGAACGTGTGTTCGTGTAGATGTATTTGTGATGCGCTTGTGTGTGTCTGTGTCTGTTCTGTGCGTGTGTGTGCTCGTGTGTTTGTGTAAGGGGTACATTCATTTTTTTTAAAACAAAGCAATAATCTACTGTTTTTTATTTTCTCTTTTTCCAGGTTCTTCAAACGTGCGGAGTGTTCCGATCCAGTCTTGAGCCAGTGTAAAGGTGAAGTGATCTATGCTACAAAGGCTTTCAAACTTCGGCAGCAATATATCTGTGGCGAAAGATTCACGAGAAAAGGTAGCATGCGACACTAGTGATGGGTAATGTGTTGTCAGTTTGTCAGTGTATAAATAATACAAGTCAGTTCTATATGACACTCATACTGTGCTATTTGGTAGAAAAGCAAAGATGGCAGTGACAGTCGCAGTTTCACACTTGCTAGTTGATTGGCAATTTCGACGCTGTGCTCATAATTTTGATGATAATCGACATTTGCTGGATGATGAGATAAGTTTACTTCTTGCTACCATTCTTATTTTCTGATGACCCAGATCAATATTTTGACTGGCAAAGGAATTATGAAATAATAGACCTCGTAACTGGGTCATTTAATTCTAGTTGGACTAAGTGTTGATTACCTGGCTAGACGAAAAAAATATTTTAATAACCCCCTACCCCTCCCTAAAAAAATACTAGGTTATTTAGTAGAATATCGCTAACGACTTCTTAGAGAAGAGACTGAAACTATGTAGATGCATTATTACGTATGGTAATCATATCAATAAATTGGTTCCCTGTGTGGGTTCTGAGGCCCCATGGTTGCAAGACAAGAATGTATCCACTGACACGCATGTCGTAGGAGTCTACAAACTTGGGTTTTTCTGTGAAAACAGTGTGCGTCTGCCTGAAAGGCAAAAAGCCATAAGTCTGCATGCAGATAACTCATATGAGTAAAACGGATGTGCACGCAACTTTTCGCTTCTGGGACTAGTCTAAAATCCAGAGGTGGATGAACAACCAAAAATTTCCGCCGGAATTTTCAACACGTGAACGATGGCAAACAAGAATAATGTGGTTATGATACTTGGCTGTATTGCCTGTAACGGTTGCTAAACATTCTTACTTGTCTCTTGTGTGCTATAAATACTCTAAAGGTTGCCTTGTTGTTACTGGCTATTACTGCATTTGTTGTCGTAACTCAGTAGGTTCATGATACCCTCTTACAGCAATGGTAACTGGTTCCATACTTCCAGATAGGAGCCACATTATATTGTGTTATGTTCTTGTAGGCTTTCTACGTGTTGACTGCAACGCTTCCCGTCAGACGTGTATAATTTACATGGTGAGCCACGAAAAGAAAACAGAAGACTTGGTCAGTGTTATATCTGGAGCGAACAGCTAGTGCTTCCTCTACAGATTCAACCAGTTGTGCATATTCCTGTGCTTTGATTTGCTGATCAAGTGCTTCATTTAGGTATTTACGTGTACCTGGTTTATTTGGGTCTGGTAAGTCAGACCATGCCAGACATGGTTACTGGGCGCAAGATGGCCTAGGTGAAGGCCTACCTGGATGTTTCTGTTGGCATGAAACGCCATCTGCACAGCTGCCTACAGGGGAACAAAGTTAAGTGCATAAAGAGGAGGTGGTCCTGAATGTCTGTATAACAGCCAAATTGCCCACTGAAAAATGAAGTCTCGGCGCTGAATGGATAGAAACACGCACACAAAGAATGCAAAAGCCTATTGAGGTAATAATCTCCACAGGCGGCTACTGTAGAGAATGGAGCCAAACAGCCGATGCTGCTGAAGTAAGGGCCCCCACCCACATGACGTCACATTACCAGGTGACGTCATTGATACAAATGGCTAAGTGATTCGTGGGATGCGGTCTGGGTGAGCATAGACAACATATAGGTCAATTGAACGAGAGTGAAAGTAGACAGTCAGGTATTCAGTTCAACTATTTCAAGTATACAAGCATAATAGAGACAGCAGCTGTTGCAGTAACAACTGTATAACTAGCAGAGTTGAAAGAGCTTGGACATTTATAGTAACAGACCCAGTGAACATGCTTGAAAAGATGCAGATTCGCAAACTCCGACTAGAATGGATTCACAGCATCCAGAAGTCCCGCATGAAGAAACTATCTCGGCGTTTCTCATAGGGATATGCTGGGGTGAAAGGAAATAAAAGAGCCGACAGATTTATGTCTGCAGTCGTTAGGGAAAGAAGAAGTAGGGACAGGGCATACATACAGTGAGCGCTGCGTTCTAAAGACTCTGAGACAATAAAATCGGAGTCGATGCACCGCCTGCTGACTCATCAAGGAAAAGATTCCCAAACATAGCATTCATGAAAAGTCCATTTACCTTCTAAACAGCCATCAAAGATTCTCCATGCTGATGGTATACGGTACCACCTTGTTAACTACTCTTTTGCCTTTCTCCTGAGTCTAGAATGGTGTTCAGAGCCTGTAGAACTACCATCACCACCCTCAACATTTGTTCTGCAACATTCTCTCCACGTACAGGTTTTCAAAATCATCTGTTCTACTCGTTCCACAGACGAGAGATCATATTTGCCTTGTACAGTTGCAGTACGCCTCTAGTGGGCTAATCCAGCAAGCCAATCTTCTTGCTCACTGACAAACATGTTTGCAGTACCCCTCTAGTAGGCCTAATCCAGCAAGCCAATCTTCTTGCTCAATGACAAACATGTGTGCAGTACCTCTCTAGTGGGGCTAATCCTGCAAGACAATCTTCTTGCTCAATGACAAACATGTCTGCAGTACCCCTCTAGTGGGGCTAATCCTGCAAGCCAATCTTCTTGCTCAATGACAAACATGTGTGCAGTACCCCTCTAGTGGGGCTAATCCTGCAAGCCAATCTTCTTGCTCAATGACAAACATGTGTGCAGTACCCCTCTAGTGGGGCTAATCCTGCAAGCCAATCTTCTTGCTCAATGACAAACATGTGTGCAGTACCCCTCTAGTAGGCCTAATCCAGCAAGCCAATCTTCTTGCTCACTGACAAACATGTGTGCAGTACACCTCTAGTGGGGCTAATCCAGCAAGCCAATCTTCTTGCTCACTGACAAACATGTCTGCAGTACCCCTCTAGTGGGCTAATCCAGCTAGCCAATCTTCTTGCTCACTGACAAACATGTGTGCATAGCCCGGACATAATATCCATATGACTCTTTCCACTTGCGACCTCTTTATTATTGGGACGCATTCCATACATAGAAAAAATGACTCCACCTTCCAAAGCATGCTTTTCGAATACGATACTATAACAGCTTGTGTGACGGAGATTTCTCTCTCCATTGGAACTCCGCAGTTACCGCTTCAGCCTCCATTCTCATGTATCGCTTAACAAGCTTTTATTGGTAATCCTTCTTCCGCCCCTTCTCCCTAATATTTTGCATTAAAGCCCCTCCTACTTGTTCTACCACTGTCCACTGACCCATTCGTGTATATCACATCTCCTAGTGTAGAGATAGCATCTGCCAGCTTTTGAGCATGTGTCTGCACGTCCCGCTGCACGTTTTCTGCATTCCCGTCCTATAGTATTTGTCATTTTGTGCAGCTGTTCTCTTCCCTCCACTATCTATATCTATTCTTCTCCCGGCTAATCTCGTTACTGTTGCAGACAATGTTGATTGTCTTTTCAGCCTTGGCCGTCCACCATCCGCCCATCTTCAATCTGTCAGCCTTCACAATGTCCGATTCCCAAATGAAGGATATGTTCTGTATCATTTGCGTATCTTTTGTTTCCCAGCTTGCAGTGTGATTTGTTTGTCAGCAATGGCGTCGCTCGCGCATCCCAGAATGGTTCATGCAACCCCATTCTGTATGCGTTCCACTTTCTCCATTTGAGTTTTTTTTTTCTTTAACACGGTTGGTATCTTCAGACCTTATTCAATGGCTGACATAGCAAGGCGCTGACTGATTTTGTATAAAATGTCTTGTTTATACCCGCATCAGCCATAGTGTTCAGTGCATTAGGGCTTCTCTTTGCTCTCCAGATGACTACATCGATGTGTTCGTTAAAGACAGTTCCCTATTGAAAGTACTCGAACATATTTTAGTGTTTTCCCCTTTGGCAACCGCATCATTGACATGGGTGTCAAACCAGGACAGGAAAGAAGAAAGAACTTTAATTCAACTGCTACTGATCATGTTGAGTATGGAAACCCTAAGATGTCTGCTGTGTCAGAGGATGGAGCATGAATGAGTCAGGCCAATGTGGACGAGTAACAAGATTGGCCCTCACTCTGGTTTTCTCTAAAGCCTGTTGTGTCCTGCTTTTTCTATGATTACTCAAATCATCTCAGTTCTCTCTCTTTCTCTCTCTCTCTCTCTCTCTCTCTCTCTCTCTCTCTCTCTCTCTCTCTCTCTCTCTCCCTCTCTCTCTCTCTCTCTCTTTCTCTCCCTCTCTCTCGCCCTCTCTCTCTCCCCCTCTCTCTCTATCTATCTCTCTCTCCCTCTCTCTCTCCCCTCTCTCTCTCCCTCTACACCCCCATCTTTCTCTCTCCCCTCTCTCTCCTCCCTCTCTCTCCTCTCTCTCTCTATCTATCTATCTCTCTCTCTCTCTTCTACTTACTCATTGACAGAAAAAAATGTATGACATTATGCACCATCGTATCATGTGAGACATGATTTATATACACATCTGATTCTGTACACGTTTGGTTACAGTGATAAAGTCTGCTATCAAATAGTCGTGTTTATCTTTACATTTTGTATTTGTTGGAGTCATTATATTTAGATGATAATAAAGTTTAAAAACCGTTTACCCATGTATGTATGCATGAATAGCGACAATTTGTGTCTTTCTATACTTATTGTGTTACTGTACAGCTAATGTTAAAGCATTAACTGCAGCCTTAAGTCTGAATAGCCTTGTTTCTGTATCTCATGATCCAGGTTTACAAAGTATGAAGACGTGCGTGCATAAGTTCAACCGTCACTTCTCAACGTGCCATCAGAAACGTCACACACTACTTGAAGAAGCTGCGTATGTCACCCAGACAACATCAGACTCTGGCCCGTGGTGCAAGTAAGTTCGTATGGCGGAAGTTTCACAGACTAAAAGATGTGGTTATCATTAAAACATGTCTTCATAGTCTCACACCTATCACACGATACATGTCGTCACTGAGTTACACAGACATTGTCACACAGACATTGTGACACAAATGTCGTTATACAGTTGTTTCATAGTATCAAACAAACAGGACGACACATGTCTTCATAGTGTAACACTAACTACGCCATGCTTTATAGTGTAACACTGACTACACCATGTTTTATAGTGTAACACTGACTACGCCATGCTTTATAGTGTAACACTGACTATGCCATGCTTTATAGTGTAACACTGACTACACCATGTTTTATAGTGTAACACTGACTACCCCATGTTTTATAGTGTAACACTGACTGCACAACGCTTTATAGTGTAACACTGACTACGCCATGCTCTATAGTGTAACACTGACTACCCCATGCTTTAGAGTGTAACACTGACTACCCCATGCTTTATAGTGTAACACTGACTACCCCATGTTTTATAGCGTAACACTGACTACGTCATGCTTTATAGTGTAACACTGACTACACCATGTTTTATAGTGTAACACTGACTACACAATGTTTTATAGTGTAGCACTGACTACACAATGCTTTATAGTGTAACACTGACTACACCATGTTTTATAGTGTAACACTGACTACACAATGTTTTATAGTGTAACACTGACTACACAATGCTTTATAGTGTAACACTGACTACACCATGTTTTATAGTGTAACACTGACTACACAATGTTTTATAGTGTAACACTGACTACACAATGCTTTATAGTGTATCACTGACTACGCCATGCTCTATAGTGTAACATTGACTACTCCATGCTTAATACTTTAACACTGACTACGCCATGCTTTATACTGTAACACTGACTACGCCATGCTTTATACTGTAACACTGACTACGTCATGCTTTATAGTGTATGACTGACTACACCATGTTTTATAGTTTAACACTGACTACGCCATGCTTTATAGTGTAACACTGACTACGCCATGCTTTATAGTGTAACACTGACTACTCCATGCTTTATAGTGTAACAGTGACTACGTCATGCTTCATAGTGTCACACTGACTACGCCATGTGTTATAGTGTATAACTAACTACGCCATGTTTGATAGTGTAACATTGACTACGTCATGCTTTATAGTGTAACAGTGACTACGCCATGCTTCATAGTGTCACACTGACTACTCCATGGTTTATAGTGTAACACTGACTACATCATGCTTCATAGTGTAACACTGTTTACGTCATGCTTCATCTTCGTTATACAACACAAAGTCATGAGCCAGTTTCCAATAAAAGCGTCAATTATAAAACCTAATCCACACCGGACAACTAAGAAAGCGAGAGAGAAGGGGAGGACGCTAGCAGTCCCTGAACTCTGATGCAGTATATAAACTTTAGTTTTGGGACAGGATAAAGAGGGTGGCTAGCTGTCCCAATACTTGGCCAGCTTTACTGCTTCGAGTGTCAGTTTCTTTGTTTGATTGACCATGTTCAGAGAATGTTGTTGCAAGAAATTTAAATTCACGGGCCTGTTTAATATGTATGCTCTAATGCTTTTTTTTTTAAATTCCTGCTTCTTTCTTTCTATTGACATTTCTTTTGTCCTTTTGATATTGCTTCTCCTGTTATTTACATTCTTCATTGATGGATGTGAGATGCTGCTGTAAATTCAAGACTGAAAGTGCAATCAAGGCCTGGTCATCAGCAAAGAGTAATTCGTTGATGTTACAATTTTTTTTAAACTGTCATCATAAGAGTTAACTTTTTGAGTCCCAAGGAACGCATCATGCGTTCATAGGTTCCTACCTTGAAGCCCAACGAACGCATGATATGTGGATTTTATTACTTTCTTTACTACCCCCTGGGCCTGTGATGCTAAACCCGCTGGGACTCAAAGAGTTAATAGACTGAAGTGGTATAGACATACTGAAAGAATATTCAGATGACAGAGAAGTAAAAACTGTATACACAGGGGAGATGAATGTTCGTAGACCACGAGGCAGACCAAGAAGACAATGGAGAGATAATATCCAGGCAGACCTGCAAACAGTTGGTTTCACAAACTGAAAAGAGAAGACCAGCCAGAGAGTTCAACTGAGGCGGGTGATATCTACAGCAATCAACCTCAAGGGCTCGGAATGCTGAATAAGAAAAAGACTATTTTTTTCCTGGGCCTGGAATCTTTCCTTCTACTGTCAGTGTAGGTAATCAACAGGAGTAGTGATAAGGCGCATCCATGTTTTACTCCAGATGTTACTTTGAATGGTTCAGATGTTTCCTGGTTCATTCTAAATACGCTTCTACAGTCGCTTTATAAGCTTTTGCAAGCTTTAACGAAGTGTTGACTTACTTCATATCGAGTCATCACTTTCTATAGTTTTTATCTATCGACATTGTCGACATATTTCTTCTCATCTGTCTACAAATGCTACAAATAAGTTCTGATCATATTCGATGTTTTTTTGTTTTGTTTTTAAATAACTGTTGAAGTGTGAAAATTGCATCTGTGCAGATTCTGTTTCTTCTGAAACCCATCTTTTTTTTCTGTCAACTGTGGTTTTATCACTGGTCGCAGCCTCATTTCTATTATATTAGCATAAAATTTCCCAACATAACTTGAAAGAGAGATGCCTCGATTTTGATTGCATTCTCACTTGCTTCCCTTGTTCTTCCACGATAGTACATTAATTGCATGTTGCCAGTCAAGGGGAGCAGTTTGTTGTACCCATGCCGCTTGAAATATTCTATTGAGCAATCTAATGTTGCTTTCACCTGCTGCTTGGATTTTTTCTGTTGGTAATCTATCAGCTCCTGGTGATTTATATTTGGGTGACTGCCTACTTTACTTCAGTCATTAATATATCAGGCTGTAGCACGTTTGCTGTGTTGTCTTCATCTGTTCTTTCCTGGCAATCTCCTAAGGTTTTAAAGAGCTCACTAAAGTATTCTCTCCATCTTTCAGTTATCTCTGGTGGGTCTAATAATGGGTTTATTTGTAATCGTTATTCCACTATTGCACTTAGGTCCCATTACACACCAGTGACTCATCGAGGAGGCTAAACTTATATTTTGATAGCACTCAAGGAATTCCAGAGAAATATGACTAAAAAGCTCAACGAAATTGGGAAGCAGAAAAACATGACTTATGTTTGAAACAGGCCGCCCGGTCGAAATGTTACTTTGTGTTCTTTTGTACCCGTTTTTCTGCTTCCCCATTTTGTGAAGCTTTTTAGTCAATTTCTCTGGAATTCATCTGATTATTTACTTGTTTTTTTATTGAAATCATTCTCTTAGCTATACTTTCACATGAGATATGCATGCATTTGTTGCCATTGTTCCTTTAGTCATTTGTGACAAGTGACATTCTGTAACTGTGTACAAATCTGTGTACTCCACCAGCCTGACCAAGGACTACATCACCTGTGTGTACAGCGTCATGGCTCTTGGGTGCACCATGGAAGTCGCCGAGGAATACATGGAAACAGTCAACCAATCAGTGCCCGTTTTGGAGGCGGTGTTTGGTCATCGATGCGCATTTGGTCATCCTTTAGATCTTCTAAAGACATCAGTACCAGGGCTAGAAAGTACTTCCAGCACGCAGAACCAGCACGAAGATGACTATGGGGTGGGCAGACGCTTTTCTCCCGTGTCTCGAAGATCTGCAGCAGGAAAACATCACCATTCGTACAGTCTCATAATATTAATTCTTTCCATTCGTGTTTATTGTTTGATACAAGAACGCTGTATAGGATGTGTGCACTTGGCTGCAGAAACTACTGGGCTAATTATCAGGTGAAAAACATCCAGAAGACATGTTACATTGTAAATATGTAGTTATTTATTGTTATTGTAATATAATAGTAGTTAACGTACTGTAAATAGAAACTGATCACGTTCAGCTGACGTCACTAGGGCCAGAATGGTTTAGATCATTAAGTAAAAAGGTCAAGTCGGGAGATGTGAACCAACGTCATTGCACAGGGTTATAAACCATAAGTGCTCTGTCACCAGTACGGACAGCTGATAAGAATTGTCTGACTGTGTCGCCGTTCGCACGTAACTCTGTAGCTACAGCCACGTTCCTCCATTTACCCCGGAGTGTCAATTCTAGTACCCATTTCCTAGAGGCTGAGTTAACACCGGAAGCCACCCGGTTTCGAACACCGACCATGGGATGCAGCGAGTCGCAGCTGGGTTTGAAAGCGGGCCTCTTATCGACTGCGCTAACGCGGCCCCGACAATAATGACAGTCTAATCGTTGTTGAGATAAATTTGATACACATAATTAGTTAATTAGTTAGTTATTTGGGTTATCATCATTGCACTCCGGACATGTCCATAGGTGCTCAGATCCTCCCCTCAGTATGAACCCCAACGTCCGATGGCTAATAGTACCAGTTCTGTGTTGATTAAGAAGTCGTGTGATGTGTCTGGTGTGTGTCTCGTTTTTTTCAATGCCGATCTTAATTCCCAAGTCTGCCATTCTGGCGAATGATGTGGACACACTGCCCCCAAAGTCCTCTATCCTTCCATTTCTCTGAGGGCATTAATAATATCAGCATGACCACTAGTAGTAATACACATAATTCGATGTGTGTTTAACATTGTTAGGAGGTTATAACATTGGATCAAATATATTATCATAATTCTAAACACAACAGTGATGATACTGAGATTACTGCTGTATTGGTGTTTCATTCTAATGATGGCAGCTGTGGAAACCGTATGTTTCTAGGATCCGACATTGTCTTGAAGGAGGCTACCTCCAGATAATCACGGTTTGGTCATCAAACACATCAATCAGCGGTCATCAAACACATCAATCAGCTGTCATCAAACACATCAATCAGCTGTCATCAAACACATCAATCAGCTGTCATCAAACACATCAATCAGCTGTGCACAGCATTACCTGTCAAACATCACCAAAGACTGTGGCAGTGGCGAAAATACGTAATTGCTTCCCTTGTTTCACAGCCACTGTTTTACACAGGCATACACGCATTATAATTGATGGCTGTTGTCCTCGGACAGATACGAACTGTTGCTGCAATGAGTCGACTTCATCTCTCCATGGGTGCTGAACACGTTGGCGAGGATTATGGATAGTGAATGCATTTTTTGTAGCAGTCACTTTAACTCATTAGTACATTCTACACAGCTGGTCACAACTGTTTTTTTTTTTTTTTTAATTTTTTTAATGCGCCAAGTATTCTCAGCAAGTATTTTTAACAAGTATTCCCAACAAGCATTCTCAACAAGTATTCCCAACAAGTATTCGCAACAAGTATTCGCAACCAGTATTCTCAGCAATTATCTTAATCAGAAGCTAAGTCAGCAGCATCATGTTGGTGTAATGTACAAAGTAATATGCTGACATTCTAATTCACGGACAGTCAACCTGGGACCTCCACTTGTCCATGTGGTGCATCTGGGAAGAAAGAAAAACAGTGCTCTAGGATTTTGTCGAGCAGGAAAAAACGAACAGCTCAAGACAGGGTTGCTGGAGAACCCTACCATTTGGCGAGACATCTATTTAAATTGCCACAGTCGGCATCTTTAGACTACTGAAGCACATCTGTCGCATGTGTACTTAGAAGACCATTGAGAAGTCGCTGCCGCTGAGAAGGCTGATCTACTTTCTGTAGAGGCCGAAAGTGTGGTTCAAAACGATAGTTCTCTTATAGCCACAGATGGTCGAGGCGGTACAGAAAGCAGCAGTGAATCAATACAAGTTCCTAATGGTGTCTCCAGTCCAAACTTTGCTTGATCGTGCTCAAATGCCTCAACTCGTTCTGAAATTCGCGTGGAAGCATAAGGGCTTAAGTAACGAGTCAAATAAAGCCAAAACATCTACTTTCTCAAGCAGAAAAACACAACAGACATTTACCAGCCAGCCGATCTTGCAATACATGAACAACTGGCTGCTATACATGAACACCTGGCTGCCACATGAACACCTGGCTGCTATACATAACACCTGGCTGCTATATATGAATACCTGGCTGCTATAAATGAGCATCTGGCTGCTATATATGAACACCTGGCTGCTATATATGAACACTTGGCTGCTATATATGAACACCTGGCTGCTATATATGAACACCTGGCTGCTGTATATATGAACACCTGGCTGCTATATATAAACACCTGGCTGCTATATATGAACACCTGGCTGCTATATATAAACACCTGGCTGCTATATATGAAAACCTGGCTGCTATATATGAACACCTGGCTGCTATATATGAACATCTAGCTGCTATATAAGAACACCTGACTGCTATATATGAACACCTGACTGCTATATATGAACACCTGGCTGCTATACATGAACACCTGGCTGCTATATATGAACACCTGGCTGCTGTACATGAACACCTGGCTGCTATATATGAACACCTGGCTGCTATATATGAACATCTGGCTGCTATATATGAACACCTGGCTGCTATATATGAACACCTGGCTGGTATATATGAACACCGATATATAGGACACCGAGACAATTCAAAGGCAACCGACGAGGTAAACGTGGACGCCAATACTAAGAAGAACCATAAACCAACACAAAAACATCAGAACCAAAAACGAAAGCTCAAACCCTAAACGAATACGCCACCATCTTTGAGAAGCAGGCCAGCTCACAAGGAAGAACAACTAACCAACCGAAACAGAACCTAATGCGGATTTGTGAACTAGCCCGCCCGAGGTATGACGAAGCCAGCAACCAACCAGAACCGACCTAGCCGCCATGACACCTTCCAAATCCAGCTCACCGGACCGGAATAACCCACTCGCACAAAACCAGCCAGGCAAGACTGCTCGACAGCCAGATACACTCCCACCCATTCCCGTACCAGGCCGCGCCCGGCACTCCCTAATTGTCCTTCTCAGGACTTTACGTTTTCCCCTCCCAATACAGCCTACTCACACCAACCGAAAGGAACAGCCCAAGCATGATAATCGGAACTCAAGGCGCAACCAAACGCCTCCAAGAAACAAAACGACCTAGAGTCAGCAATCAAACAAGGACTTGATATAGTCACCGCTCAACCAGGAGCAGACTGAAAGAGTCAAGGAGTTTTATCATTTTTGTTTTCTACAAAGTACAAGTTCAAGTAAATATGAACACCGGGCTGCTATACATGAACACCTGGCTGCTATACGTGAACACATGGCTGCTATACATAAACACCTGGCTGCTATACATAAACACCTGGCTGCTATACATGAACACCTGGCTGCTATACATGAACACCTGGCTGCTATACATGAACACCGGGCTGCTATACATGAACACCTGGCTGCTATACGTGAACACCTGGCTGCTATACGTGAACACCTGGCTGCTATACATGAATACCGGGCTGCTATACATAAACACCTGGCTGCTATACGTGAACACCTGGCTGCTATACGTGAACACCTGGCTGCTATATATGAACACCTGGCTGCAATATATGAACACCTGGCAGCTATACATGAACAACTGGCTGCAATACATGAACACCTGGTTGCTATACATGAACACCGGGCTGCATTATATGAACACCTGACTTCTATACATGAACACCTGGCTGCTATACATGAAAACCTGGCAGCTATACATGTACACCTGGCTGCTACACTTGAACACTAGGCTGCAATACATGAACACCGTGCTGCAATACATAAACACCGGGCTGCAATACATGAACACATGGCTGCTACACATGAACACTAGGCTGCAATACATGAACACCGTGCTGCAATACATGAACACCCGGCTGCAATACATGAACACCCGGCTGGAATACATGAACACCGTGCTGCAATACATGAACACCGTGCTGCAATACATGAACACCGTGCTGCAATACATGAACACCGTGCTGCAATACATGAACACCCGGCTGCAATACATGAACACCGGGCTGCAATACATGAACACCGTGCTGCAATACATGAACACCCGGCTGCAATACATGAACACCGTGCTGCAATACATGAACACCGGGCTGCATTACATGAACACCGTGCTGCAATACATGAACACCGTGCTGCAATACATGAACACCGTGCTGCAATACATGAACACCGTGCTGCAATACATGAACACCGTGCTGCAATACATGAACACCGTGCTGCAATACATGAACACCGTGCTGCAATACATGAACACCGTGCTGCAATACATGAACACCGGGCTGCAATACATGAACACCGTGCTGCAATACATGAACACCGTGCTGCAATACATGAACACCGTGCTGCTACACATGAACACTAGGCTGCAATACATGAACACCGTGCTGCAATACATGAACACCGTGCTGCTACACATGAACACTAGGCTGCAATACATGAACACCGTGCTGCAATACATGAACACCGGGCTGCAATACATGAACACCGTGCTGCTATACATGAACACATGGCTGCTACACTTGAACACTAGGCTGCAATACATGAACACCGTGCTGCAATACATGAACACCGTGCTGCAATACATGAACACCGGGCTGCAATACATGAACACCGTGCTGCAATACATGAACACCGTGCTGCAATACATGAACACCGTGCTGCAATACATGAACACTAGGCTGCAATACATGAACACCGTGCTGCAATACATGAACACCGTGCTGCTACACATGAACACTAGGCTGCAATACATGAACACCGTGCTGCAATACATGAACACCGGGCTGCAATACATGAACACCGTGCTGCTATACATGAACACATGGCTGCAATACATGAACACTAGGCTGCAATACATGAACACCGTGCTGCGATACATGAACACCG